CTCTAGGTCTCATGCCCCTCCAAATACAAAACTGTGAGGTGGCAACCGTCTGGGTTGAGATGCTTGATCTTGTCAATCTCCAAAATTAATAGATCCAGGAAGGGACGAATTTTGATGGGAGGACAGGTTGACATTCGTAAACGTCAGGAAACCAAAACTGTCTGGGCCAGCTGGTGCAATGAGACTGGCCCAAGCTTTGGTGTGATGAATATTTTGCAGGATCTGTGGTAGCAGTGTCATTGGAGAAAAGGCGTATCTCAAGTGCTCTGTCCAGGATAACAGAAGGGCATTGCCGCTGGAGTCCCAGCCCAGTGCTGCTCTGTGGCAGTATAAACTGAACTTCTTGTTCATCTGGGAGTCGAAAAGGTCCCAGGATGGTGTTTCCCACTGGGGGAGGTGGTGGTGGGGATTTCGTTTAGGGTGGAACTGTGTATCTCCCACTGGCCTGTGAGGAAGCGACTGCAGAGACTGTCTGCTAGAGAGCTCTGAATACCTGGTAGCTATGCTTCCAAAAGTGTGATGTCGTTTCTGATGCACCAGTTTCATAAATTGACTGCCTCTATATATAGAGGAAGAAATTTTGCCCCACCGTGTTTGTTTATATAAAAGGCGGTTGCCATGTTGTCCGACATTATCTGGATGCGACAGGACTCTCAGTGGGAGGAATGCATTGCAGGCTATGCAGACTGCCCTTAAATCTAGGAGATTGATAGGCGTCCATGTGTCCTGCGCAGCATGACTGCCCATGTGTGCTCCCTAGACTACAAGGGATGCACCTGTGATTATGGTTGTATCAGGTGTGGGTGGAAAGAAAGGGACTCCTGCACGCACTTGTTCTGGGTTCATCCACCATACAAGAGAAGCCATGACCTTGGCAGGAGTTGTTACCTTGGTATTCATGTTGTCTCTATCTGTAGAGTAAACAGACTAGAACCAGTCTGTTTACTGGGGGCTGAACCAGGCAAGTGGGCCCCCCAAAATGTCCCTCCGCGCCCAACAGTTTGGGGACCTCTGCTCTATAGCCCTCACTAGAGGAAAGAGTCCACCTCCTGATGGAGGATTTCCTCATGACAGTGGTCCCTGAAGAGGGGTCAGGAAGTGAGTTTGTGGGGGAGGGAGGAGGAGGAGGAGATACAATTCTTCACACTCCCACTCCCACCTCCTGAATAATTACTGAAAAATGGGTATGAAACTTATTTCTGAAAATCTGATTTAAATTTACTTAACTTTTGACATTACTTTTGCAATTAATTTTTTCAATATGAGTTTAAAAAGGCAGGTGTTGTTTTAGGGCAACTCAGTGTAGCCAGTGATTCTTGGCAGCCCTGATAGTCTCATAAAGTATATCTGAGTTATGAATTGAAGGGGCAAGTGCCCTGTAGTGTACACAGTATACTGGAGTGCTTTCCATTTCACAAAACAAAGAAAGGCAAGAAACAGGGAGAATGAACTCAGTCCCACCCAATTTTCCTGTTACTGTCCTCTCCCCGCCCAACAGAATGGAAAATAACATTGCTGCTACTCTTGAAGAAACAAGGAAATTGGTCATGTGAAAGTATGCAAGATCTTCATATATCTATATATAGATATAAATATATATGTATCTGTACCTGAATGAAAAGTAGAAAGTTACCATAGCTAATTACTAGATCATTCCTCTATTGCATGGATAAGACATTAGACTAAGAAAAAGGCCTTCTCCTCAGTGTTAATTGTTTGGTAATCAGGCCTAACAAGAAACCGGTAAGATTAAAGCCCATGACCAAATTGTGACTTATGGATCTAACTGAAGCAAACAACTCCAGTTCCTGCAGTAAATTTCATTCCTCAATTCCAAAGACTTTAGCAAAGCCCTTCTAGCAATAAGAAACCATTACATACTTACTTGCTTTGTAGTCTGAATTCAGACACTGTCAGCAGCAATACCAGATACCCTGCTTCAGTTCTGCTGTGCGTGTGGTGCAAGTATGTTTGTCTAGGAGCAGATGCCAATATTTAACCTCATATTATGGGCATGGCAGATACTTAGACACTGTGGCCTAATTAAAGGCATCACATTCCCCTTCATTTTCTTAAAGGCAACACCAGAAGAGGGTTTTAGCTTTTTATAACAGTGCATGCAAATACTTCTATGTGTTTCTCCATGCAATAATTTTGATTTAACTTAACAGAAAACTATATAAAATTTGACAATAATCAAGTTATATAATTATCTGTATACTTCTGAAAAGAGATAAATGCTAAATATTATGAAAACAATTAGATAAAAACCAAGGTTCATATACTTTTTTGAAAAATTTTTGTTAACACACATATGGAAACAATATAGCGTCTGGCATACTTTTAGCTTTAAAGTCAAATATAGGGTTGTTTTTGAAATAAGAATTGGATCATTTTCAAAGTTCAAGTGATTTGCTAACAGAAAACCACCAAGAATAACTAACTTGGTAAAGGGAAAACTAAAATCGTAGTCTTAGTAGGACTGGTTACTATCTGGAAAGCATTGATCACAAAGGATATGAAATAAGTAATTCTAAGACAAAGTAAAGAGGAAAAAATAACAAAAGAGATATATCTAGTAACATATCTAGTATAAATAAAGACTGATTAGCCAACACTTACGATATAGTTTCTTAAATTTTATATGGATTCCCTCATGTTTGTAAAAGAAATAATTTAGTAATCTTCTGTTTATTCAGCCCCAAATTCTAGATATTCTTCTGGGGACATCATTAAAACCTTGTCCATCATATGGACAATATGGTGGACTCAGACTTCTAAAGTATAGATTCTTCAATGAATATTAAAAGCAGACTACACCGCTACCCCTATATAACGCGACCCGATATAACACGAATTCAAATAAAACGTGGTAAAGCAGTGCTCCGGGGGGGGCTGGGCTGCGCACTCCTGTGGATCAAAGCAAGTTCGATATAACGCGATTTCACCTATAACGCGGCAAGATTTTTTGGCTCCCGAGGACAGCGTTATATCGAGGTAGAGGTGTATAACTATATATTTTGTCCATTTGAACCACATAGATATAATCCCTATTTAAGTAAATTCAGAGATCTTTTGTACATTTAGAGACTCTTTAAAAGTCTAAGAACTCTGGCACATGCTTAAAGTACACGCCTATCCTGAAAAGGGACTACATAAAAATGGTTATCTTCTTACTCCAGGGATTTGCTCACTATATATATTCACAGTCATATCTTTCTTCAGTGAAAACACTTTACTACTTTTTGCTGCTGGTAGCCAATGCAGAATCAAGAGGATGCATCATATTCTAATCTAGCTCATACATCAATAGTATTGATAACTATGTTTTATTTGCATTTTTAATTCATTTTGCATTTGGATCTAGTATAACCGAGGACAGAAGACAATAGACTTGCATAGACGACAATAAGGGCAAAATTAGCTTTGCAGAATTTTTGTCATCAATGAGATGCAATAGCCAGAAAGAAAACAGGTGGACTTTCAGAACTCATATTGAGTTTGTAGGGCAGACAGTTAGAAAACCCTTCATTTAAATGAAACCAATTTGAAATGCAATCATTGAGACAAATATGGAATCCCAACATCCTCATTTTTACATAGTCCCTTTTTAGAGGAGACATTCACTTTTATTTCCAGAGAAACATGTGTATAGATTGGAAATTAACTGGGACCATAATTGGCTGATCTTTTTACACTATCTTCATTCTCCTTAATACTCCAGAACATCCTAGCATCATTTCTGTTATGAAATGAAACTGTCTGGTAAATGACATAGTGGTGACCTCCAGCACTGCTAAAATTAAAGGTCTATTGGCATTGCCATTCTGAACAAAAATTCAATTTAGTTGCTTTACATAAGTTTGCATGGAGTAAAATATGAAATATAATTCCTTCCCTCTTCCAAGATGTGAATACAGTATTGAGCTAAGACAGGGCATGTGTACTGGTCCATTAAAATATGCTTCAGGGGAATTATCTGAACAGTATTTATTTTTCAAAACACGTTAAGATATCTTTTACATTTCATGCTAGATCTTGTGTGTGTAACATAGAATGTTAACTCATTCAGTTAGAGGTCCTTCAGACAGATGAAGCCTTTCCATACATATCAAGAATACAGTTCATAACATTCTGAAATATATGGAAGTTACAGCAAGAATACATCATTTCCCAAGACTACAGGCCCGAAGAAATGCTGCAGAAGGTTGAAATTACAAACACTCTGAATGACCTATTATAATGTAAACCTTAGTCTGGAAGGTTTCATTGACTTCAATTAAATTGAATGCTTTCCCTGACAGGCACAAACTAGAACAGTAAAGGTTCTGTTCACAGCATTAACTTCCTTTTCAATAAAATGTTGGTGGAATGTTCTTTTTATCAGTCTTTTCCTTTTTAAATAAAATGAAATTAAAACAAAGCAAATAGAATGCAAAACATTCAATTTCAAAAGTCATAAGTGGTCTAACTTTAAACCGACAAAGGCACAAACATTTCAAACCCAAGACTGAAATTCTATCCTTAACCCACCCACATGTGCTCAGGAATTTTATCACACACTGTTCAGAGACCCCTATAATACATAGTCACATTAGGGTAAAGTAAGTCAGGGTAGTAGCCTTACTTCTTACGTTTTGTGTTCTAAGCCACATACTTGGTTTATTAAGGAGATCACTATTAAAATTTTGAATAGAGAGATCTCGTAGAAAACAGGAAAACATCCCTTAGTGTCATTAATTTTCGGGCTACCTGTCGGGCAGTGCTGCTGCTTTGAGGGCACACCAGAATGGGAGTCACCTTCAATCTGTTTCTGAAAAATTGTGTGTGGCCTCACCCCAGCATTATCACCAGTGAAGACAGATGCAACAAACAAACACTAACAGGAAGGATGAAAATAAAGAGGCAAGAGACCAGCAATGTAGAGAGGCTATGGCACACAACCCTCCCAGATGATGATCAGTAATCATTTTAAAAATCGGAAGACAACGCGCACGTACCCAATTTCAGTGCAGAAGGAGTCACCTCAATCTCACCACCAATTGGCTGAAAGGCAGCCAGCTGGGCAGCCACCTCCATCTCAAAAGGTTCTGGGCTGGGTCTGTCTGTCAAACTGCCACTGATGCTGTCAATCTTATTGTGCAATTCTTGTTCATCATACACGGCAATCAGCTGTAAAACAAAAGAGATTACAGTTTATACTTAAAATATGGCTGACACTGATTTTCAGTACAAATATTGCCTTGATGGTAGGATAAAAGTATCAAACAGATTTTAAAATGACAGATGATAGAGGCACAGATTCAGGAAAGTACTTAAACTGACTTCAATGGGACTTAAGCATGTTCTTAAGTGGTGACCTGAAAAGAGATGCTTTTCTGAATCAGGACCACAATGTGGTGTCATTATTAGTTAGCACCTTAGTGTACTGGAAAATTTCTCTTAGGATTTTCATTACAAACCTCTATTTAGAGAAATCCATATTTCAGCCATAAAAAAATAACGCTTAACTGAAGCACTGCTTCCATACTCTTCTAGGCTAACTTTCAGAAACCAAAATTGGGGGGGGGGGGGGGGGGAAATCCAGTTGGCCAAGTTTGAACACTTGGGGGAGGGGGGGGAAGGGCCCCAGAGTACAACGCAGGTACATATAAGTGAGGTATACAAGACTTTTCGTTGTTTTCGGTTTATCTTCTGGTAAATAAAAAAGGGACAATAGGTGAATACTGTGATCTTACAATATCCTAAGGTATTTATAAGACAGCATGTTCAAGAATACAAAATATCATTGAATAACCTCTTTTGTTTTTCCAGTTTTAAAATCCCAGTGTCATTTACATCAGAGAGCTTTTGGAGATTAAATTTTAAGGCACGTGTCTTTTGATCCATTCTCAGAGTATCCACTGGCATCAAGGGCAGAGGATGTGACTGCAACAATATTAACAACTTCATAATCAGTGTATTTCATTGAGGAAATTATCTCATTCTGTGCTTTAAATGGACATATGTTGTCCACTGAATATCATCTGAAATAGTTTCTGCAGTTTAGGGTGTACGTATTTTGTTTTAATACTTAGGATTTATTAAGAGATTGATTTAGTCTATGCTAAATTTGAAAAGAGCACTTTCTAGATCATTCCAAAAACCAAGCATTAAGGTTCGGGTTATTTTATATATGTATATATATATATACATATATACATACGTACACACACACACACACACTATATCTATCTATCTATCTATCTATATAGAGAGAGATATCTTTGTATTTTATATATACACAATACAAAGATATATAGTGTGTGTGAAAGAGAGAGAGAGAGAGAGAGAGAGAAAATATACGTATATAGATATACCTTGAAGATTTGTATCAAAAAGATACACTGAGATAAGTAAAATATTGAAGCAAAGAGACAAACATTTAAAGACACTCATTTGCCTAAGGGAATAAAGGAAGATAAAGGAATGAGAGACAAAATAAAGGAGGGAATAAGAGGAGGAAAAAAACTGAAGTGCTTCTAAGGAAGAAACTGACATTTTTAGGTCTCCCACTCATTTATAATTTGGTTGCTAGAAATGTGTCAGTTCATGTTTACCAATACATATTCCAGCAACACACAAAACACCCTGAATAATTAGGAAGAAAACTTGCTTTCCTTTTTAGACGAAGACTGCTTTCTTTCCATGACCACGCTTATATTCTTACTACACATAATTTGTTTTGTATTTAACCTAAACTTATTGGAAAAGACTAATTTTAGTAACAGAACTTTTTTTGCAATGAAAGTCATGGTAAAGTACAAGGAAACTCACCATCACAGTATCTGTGCACCTTACCAAATACATACATCCAAATGGGGGAACTAGAGCGAGACATACACATCAAGACCAAGACAAGAGTATTTGTCTTGCTTTTCTTGTTTGTTAAATAACTATTAACAGTAATGTCATGGGAAAGCTATTTTTTCATGAATGTTGTAAAGACTATCATTCATAGTTCAAGGAAGTTCACAGTTGTGGGTTAGCTTCCCAGAAGGTTTAGTCTTCAGCTCTTACCAGTCTCACCTTTCCCATGATAACTTTCCTCCATTCCCAAGGATTGTAGCTGTTACTGAGGGAGAAGGAGAGCCAGATAGCACAGGTCCAATTCACTGAAAGCTTTGAAGATCAACACCAGGATTTGAAACTCATTTTGGTATTTGAAACTCATTTTGGTATTTGATGGGTAAATAGTGAAGCGAATGGAGCTTGAGTGTGATGTGATGATCAACAGGCACACTGTTCTGTGTTGCACCAGGTGGAGTTTCTCTGTGGTTTCATTCCACGGTGCAGGACAATAGTATAATATATCTCAATACAACAGCACACATATTACAATAGTAACACTTTTCATCTATAGATTTGAAGCATTTTACAGGAGGTGAGTAAAGCATTATTATCCCCATTTTACACATCTGTAAAATGAGAGACAGATTAAATGAAACATTAGCAGTAATCATAACAGTATATTATTGCAATGTACTGAGAAATAAAACCACAGGTAGTGAAGAAATTCCACATGGTATAACATGCAATACACGACCCGCTGACCAACACAGGGTGACAAAAACACATCACTCCCATGCTCCATTCACCTCACTGGCTACCCAACAATTATCAAATCATTTTAAGATACTAATCTTGATTGTTGAAGTTATCTATGAGCCAGGCCCTGGCTGTCTTTGAAACTGCCTCTTCCCAGATACAAAGTCACACAGTTAGTCAATGGCAAAGCTGTAAAGAGAACCCAGGTCTTAACTCACTAATCAAATGCGGAGATTACAGATGAGCCGATAATTTTGACCAAATCTATATGCCAAAGTGGGATGCAGTCCCCTAGCCAGCCTCAATTAGTAAAAGTATTTTCTACTGCTGTCATTATTTGAGAAACCAGCAACAAGGAAGAGTCTAGAAGTCTTCTTAGCTGTGCATCTTTTTGTCAGATTCTTGTTATATTACAGTAATTATTTATAGGCATTTCTATAACAGTCACCACCAATTACGTTATTTGAACTGTTTCAGAGTAGCAGCCGTGTTAGTCTGTATCCGCAAAAAGAACAGGAGTACTTGTGGCACCATAGAGACTAACAAATTTATTAGAGCGTAAGCTTTCATGGGCTACAACCCACTTCTTCGGATGCATATAAAGTGAAACATATATTGAGGAGATATATATACACACACATACAGAGAGCATGAACAGGTGGGAGTTGTCTTACCAACTCTGAGAGGCCAATTAAATAAGAGAAAAAAACCTTTTGAAGTGATAATCACACTGTGTTAGTCACAGCTAACCTGGTGGCTGAACTCTGTGACTTTGTCCTCACCCACAACTATTTCACATTTGGGGACAATATATACCTTCAAGTCAGCGGCACTGCTATGGGTACCCGCATGGCCCCACAGTATGCCAACATTTTTATGGCTGACTTAGAACAACGCTTCCTTAGCTCTCGTCCCCTAACGCCCCTACTCTACTTGCGCTACATTGATGACATCTTCATCATCTGGACCCATGGAAAAGAAGCCCTTGAGGAATTCCACCATGATCTCAATAATTTCCATCCCACCATCAACCTCAGCCTAGATCAATCCACACAAGCGGTCCATTTCCTGGACACTACTGTCCTAATAAGCGATGGTCACATAAATACCACCCTATACCGGAAACCTACTGACCGCTACACTTACCTACATGCCTCCAGATTCCATCCAGGACACACCACACGATCCATTGTCTACAGCCAAGCTCTAAGATATAACCGCATTTGCTCCAATCCCTCAGATAGAGATCTTGTAGGTGCTTGTCTCTATCAAGCATTCTTAAAACTACAATACCCACCTGCTGAAGTGAAAAAACAGATTGACAGAGCCAGACGAGTACCCAGAAGTCACCTCCTACAAGACAGGGCCAACAAAGAAAATAACAGAACACCACTAGCTCTCACCTTCAGCCCCCAACTAAAACCTCTCCAGCGCATCATCAGAGATCTACAACCTATCCTGAAAGATGATCCTTTACTCTCACAGATCTTGGGAGACAGACCTGTCCTCGCTTACAGACAACCCCCCAACCTAAAGCAAATACTCACCAGCAACCACACATCACTGAACAAAAACACTGACCCAGGAACCTATCCTTGTAACAAAGCCCGATGCCAACTCTGTCCACATATCTATTCAAGTGACATCATCATAGGGCCTAATCACATCAGCCATACCATCAGGGGCTCGTTCACCTGCACATCTACCAATGTGATATATGCCATCATGTGCCAGCAATGCCCCTCTGCCATGTACATTGGCCAAACCGGACAGTCTCTACGCAAAAGAATTAATGGACACAAATCTGACATCAGGAATCATAATACTCAAAAACCAGTGGGAGAACACTTTAACCTGTCTGGCCATTCTATGACAGACCTGCGGGTGGCTATCTTAAAACAGAAAAACTTCAAAAACAGACTCCAACGAGAGACTGCTGAGCTGGAATTGATATGCAAACTAGACACAATCAACTCAGGATTAAATAAAGACTGGGAATGGCTGAGCCATTACAAACATTGAATCTATCTCCCCTTGTAAGTATTTTCACACTTGCTTCTTATCAAACTGTCTGTACTGAGCTATCTTGATTATCACTTCAAAAAGTTTTTTTTCTCTTACTTAATTGGCCTCTCAGAGTTGGTAAGACAACTCCCACCTGTTCATGCTCTCTGTATGTGTGTATATATATCTCCTCAATATATGTTTCACTCTATATGCATCCGAAGAAGTGGGTTGTAGCCCACGAAAGCTTATGCTCTAATAAATTTGTTAGTCTCTAAGGTGCCACAAGTACTCCTGTTATTTGAACTGGACTTAAACTCCCATCTTTTACACCGTGTAAAAAAGAGGTGATATTTCATGCACTGAGGATACTAGTAGCTAAAAAAATTTAAGATCTTCCTTCATCAATGAAATAAAAACTAATTTATTTATTAAAAACATTTATTCAGAAGAGCTACTTAGGACTCCATTTACAACAGCACCTAGCTTGTAACCATATTAACATTACAAATGCATTACTAATCAATCAAAACATTATAAATATCAACTTCAGCCTCTCAAAAAGGAATGAATACAATTAA